AATTCAGTAGGGTTCTAATAACGAGGTTACTTGTGATAGAGCAGCCTGCATGGCTGTATTCCTGTGTTTGTTTCCTTGATGCTCCAGACTGGAAGTGCCCTTTCTATGAGGCCAGGAGAAAAATTAAGTATCACTGTTCCATTGGGTTTTTTTAATTTTAGATATCCCTCTAACATGGTGTATCAGAATGGCAGCATTGGTTCAGATGAGAGCATGGAAATGAACTACTATCCACCACCACCTCAGTCTGATTCCGTCTCTCCACCGTCTCCATCCTACCCAGACGACAACCTGCCTCCACCACCCTTGGAATTTAGGTAAACCTCCAGGACCCATTTGGCCGCAGAGGAATAATGGATGGTATAAAGCGATGGGGTTAGCTGATCTAGTAACAAGTACTGTATTGAGACCCGAGAATGGAGTACTTTGCATTTGTCCTTGTTGAACTTCATCCTGTTTACCTTAGACCATTTCTCTTTTTTTCTCAGATAATTTTGAATTATAATTAGCGACGTGAACAGGTAACTGGTTATCCAGTAAGCCTCACCCTTACCAGATGATGCTTACTAGATAATGGCTAACCAGTTCCCCAGGAGCAGCTTTCTGCCCAAAGCCTGGCGAGTGTGGAGGGCTGCTCCAGTCCTGCTGGGCCCCCATATGGCTGGGGCCAGGAGCCTCCAGCCTGCCTTGTGTGGGTGGAGGCTGCTCCAGCTGGACTGGAGCGGTCTCCTGCCTGGGATCCCACTTAGTTGCCTAAGTGGTAGGTTAACCCAATGTTTAACTGATTAGTTGGGATTTTACATCCCTAATTATTATCCTATCCTCCAAAGCACCCCTCCTAGCTTGGTATCATCTGCAAACTGTATAAGTGTACTCTCTATGCCATTATCTAAACCACAGATGAACATATAAACAGAATCCGATCCAGAACCGATCCCTATGGAATCCCACTTGTTGTGCCATTCCAGCATGACTGTGAACCATTGAGAACTACTTTTTGGGCACAGTTATCCAGCTAGTTATGCACCCACTTTATAGTAGCTCCATCTAAGTTGCATTTCGTTTGTTAATGAGACAGTCATGTCTGACTGTTTCAAAAGCCTTACAAAAGTCTAGATATACCATATCTACCGCTTTTTCCCCTCTATCCATAAGACTTGTTACCCTGTCAAAGAAAGCTAGCAGGTTGGTTTGAAAGGATTTGTTTTTGTCACATCCCATGCTGACTGTTATTTATCACCTCATCATCTCCTAGATGTTTGCAAGTGGATTCCTTAACTATTTGCTCCATTATCTTTTCTGTTATAGAAGTGAAGATGACTGGTCTGTAATTTCCTGGGTTGCCCTTATTTCCCTTTTCACAGATGGGCTCTTTATTTGCCCTTTTCCAGTCTTCTGGTATTTCTCTTGCATTCCATGACTGTTCAGAGATAATAGCTAATGGCTCAGACATCTCCTCAGTGAACTCCTTCAGTCATAGCAAGAGAACACCATTGGTAGAGTTTCAGGTTGGAAGGATTCACCAGATCATCTAGTCAGACCTTGTGTACATCAAAGGCCACCAAATACCCCAAGTGTAAACTCGACTTCCCTCTCTCTACCTGGAGTGGGGTGCAACCCCACACCACCTACCCCAGGCCCTAGTCCTACCTCTTCTCAACTTCTTTCTGCCTCCTGCCCTCCCCACACGCACCCTGTCCCTGCTCCTCTTTCTCCCAGTGCCTCCTGCACGCTGCAGAACAGCTGATCCACATCCAAGGCAAGCAGGAGGTGCTGGGAGGCAGAGGGAAAAGTTGATCAGTGGGGCTGCCGGCAAGGGGAGGTGCATGAACAGTGGGCGAAGGCCCAGCTGGGGAAGGCAAGCCCAAGCTGCACTCCTTCCCCTTGAGATCACACCCCTTCAACAATTTCCCCAACCCCAGCCTTCAAGCTTGATCCTCCCTAGCCACCCAGAGGGCTGTTGCTGCTGGGGAGCCAGGCTGCCGCTTCCCAGTGGCCAGGGACCTAGGCTAGCTGTGGTGTGGCCCCAGCCGTCCCTAGTGTCTAGGCAGTGTAGGCAGTTTTGAGAACTTCCTTTGCCTACATTACCCATGGGGAGGTGAAAGGGGGGGAGCTTTGTGGCTGGTGGATAGTAAGCACCTACTCATTTTTTCCATAGATGCTCCAGCCTTGGAGAACCCATGGAATTGGCCCCTGTGCCTTCCAGCACCCACAATAAACCTACCAAGCAAAATCAAACCAAAGTATCACAACACACAGGAGAATAGGAAGGACTAAGATGCGTCAGTTCCCAAGGGCCCCCTAGTGGCGAGGAATTAAGCGAGCGGTACCTAATGATCTGGCAGCATGTGTAGTGTGAGGGTTGCTGTAGAAAAGCAAAACCCCCTCAGATCACTGCCAGTCTGACCTGAAGGAAAATTCCTTTCCAGTCCCCACACATGGTGACCAGTTAGACCCTGAGCATGTAAGAACCAGCCAAGCAAGTCCCTTAGAGTGACAATGCTCAGTGCTCCCTCAGAACCCTGGCCGTCTCTGTCCATCTCTCATCACCAGCCATGGCCATGCCTGGCACTTCCGAGAAAGGAGATTAAAAAACATTCCCAGACCATATTTTGCAAGGAGAGGGGAATCCCTTCTTGACTGCTGCAGGCGACTGGCTGAAACCCTCAACCATGGGCTTTTAGGAGCATAAGAGAGAAACTGGAAGTGAGCTACAGGCCTGTTGAGCCCTGCCCCTATCACAAGCAACCCCACCTTAGATTCTCACTCTTACATTTGCCCACCTCTCTCAAGTTAAAGCCCCAAATCTCCTATAATACCCTGTATAATAGGGGAGCATTACCCCTCTTTTCTTACTCTGTGAATTCTCCATACATAGACTTACTTTGCTGAAGCACCCATCCTTGTAGAATCCGAGTTCTATTAGACAATCTTAGCCCTGCTTGGGGTTTGATCTGTCTCCTTCTTCAAATGCAAATGCTTGAGAGCATGTAGTCCCCCATCCTCAATAGCACTCGGCACAGAAACAGTCCCCGTTCCTGCGTTCCTACACTGGCACCGCTTTCCCCTCTGATCCTTGCGATTGCAAGGTATAGTTTGAGGTCTCGAGGTCCTCACATCTGCATGGTCTGGACAGAGCATCCTCATTTCCCAGAGACGTGTGTGTTCTGCAGCGTCAGGTCCATTACACACCAACTCCAGAAAGGCCCAATACAGGCTCAAGTCAGCGTTTGTAAATCAGCGTTTCTCCAAGTGGTCTGCAGACCCACGCGGAGAAAGATGCTAATGGGCTGCTCCGGATTGTTTATTTACCAGCCATGCAGTCATGGAGCCTCGTGGTTCCCATTGGCCATGGTTCGCCATTTGCAGTCAACGGGAGCCACAGGAATCAGCACGACCTGGGCTGCGGCGTACTGTGGCTCCCCTTGGCTGCAAATGGTGAACCGGAGCCAGTGGGAGCCAGGAGGCTCTGTGGCTGCGGAGCCGGTAAGTGAACAAACCGGAGCAGTCTGGTCGCAGCTTTCTCAGAGTGGGTCCACAGACCGTTTTGAGAAATGCTGCTTTAAATCATAAGAACCAGAAAAGTGGTGGCAAAAGTAACTATATAGTGGGAATAAGTGAGTGAGAAATGCTGTAGTGCTAGTTGGACTAAAACATGTCAAAGGGCCGCATAGCTTGTGAGTTTGAGTTGGAGATACGATCTGTCACAGCCTGAGCTGGGCACTCCATCCTGTGGGCACTCTCTGGGTGAGAGCGGAGATAGGTGCTTCAGATGAAACTTTGTCCTGGTTTATGAAGTTACTTAAAACCCGGCTGCCCCTCGAATTTTTTTAGAAAAAGGGTGGAAGTAAATTGACCCGTCATTATAAAACAGCCAGTAGACTCTGTGGTGCATCAGATGAACATCATAGGCTGCATGTGACATTTGCCGGGTTTTGAGGTGAAAATGTTCTGTTTGCTAGCATTCAGTGTAAGCTTCCTTTTAGAAAATAAGTCAACTAGTTACATAGCACTTGCTGGGCACTAGTGTTTCCTGCTAATGCAAAGTTTATTCAGTCATTTGACTCCATATTCCCCTTCAGTGTATATTGGACCCCGTTTGCCTTTTTCCCCAGACCCTTGACAGGCAGTGACAAATAATCACCCAGAGTGCTCCAGTGAAGAATCAGTTTGTGTTAATAGCATATGAACCTCCATAGCAGAGAAAACAAGAGCTAAAGGTTACCTCGACAGACATCCCTGCTTAGCATGTAATAAATCTGACCTCGCAGCTAAATGGCTCTGGAATGGCTGGCTTTGCTCTAGAAGATTCTGAGCTGAGGGGGCCGTTTGGCCTCCAGCAGCGAGAGGTTAGGTGTTTGGCTTGTCCATTGTGCTGTTACTGTGCAGACTGATTGGGATGTGCGGCAGCATTTCTCTCAGCTGCGGTGTCAGCTGTCAGTTGTTCTGCTCTCCTAGCCAAGAGTAATGCAGCAGGATAGTCAGCGCCAGGGCCCTGGAGAATGTCAGTAAAAGCTCGGAGTTGGAAATGATAGCTGGACTATCCTTTGATTGCCCCAAAGCTGAGACTGTATCATCTGATCTGAGCTCAGAGCTAATGGTGTTCTTTGTGTGTCTGTCCCCACCCCTCCTGTTACTTTCCTTCTGCAACAGCTACCCAGTAGACAACCAGAGAGGTTCTGGTTCTGGAGGACCAAAAAGATCCAGCCTGGTCAGTCCAAGCCATCCTCCACCAGCTCCTCC